ATTAGGGTGAATAATTAATTAGGTTGTACTCCCATAAAAACTTTTGACTCTTCAGATCTAGCAAGGATGACTGGTTACACACCTGGCTTTTTCCAGTTAACAAATTCCTATTTGGATACGAGGACTACAGAAAAATTATAAAAGATAAAATCCAATTCCATTTTTTTATTATTTATTTGAGGAAGATTAGCCCTGAGCTAACATCTGCTGCCAATTCTCCTCTTTTTTGCTCAGGAAGACTGGCCCTGAGCTAACGTCTGTGCCCATCCTCCTCTATTTCATATGTGGGACGCCTGCCACAGCATGGCTTGATAAATGGTGTGTAGGTCTGCAGCCAGGATCTGAACTGGCGAGCCCTGGGCCGCTGAAACAGAGCACGCAAACTTAATCACTGCATCACCAGGCTGGCTCCTAAAAATCCAATTCTAAACACCTAGTCTAGTAAGGAAGTGCTTGAATAGGTGAGGACTCCAGAAACCATGCCTACCTTATTTCTAAGGCATCAGTTTTAGCACAAGCACCAGTTTTCAGAAATAATTTTGGTGAAGAGAAATGGAAAGTTTTAAAGGAGGAAAGAGGGAGAATAGGAGATGACAAGGGTGAGTTACGACTCAGCCTCCTAAATGCCTCCTGTGAATAAATGGACGCAACTAAGACAGACTTCTCTCTGTTGGTTGCCTATTACTATGTGGACAGCTTATGTTGACACAGTGGAAGGCACTATGAGCCTGGGTAATTAACTACCATTTAGCTGAGAAGATGTATCATAGTAGAAATTCTGTAAACTTCAGAGTTAGACCAATTTGGGTTCGTTTCTTGGCTGAGCCACTTACTAGCTGAACTCTTTGGCAAGTTAGACATTTTAAACCTCAGGTTTCTGATCTCTAAAATGGGGATAATGCTTGCTTTGTAGAATGTAACAGTCTGCATGGATGAAGCACGTACTTGGCATGTGAATATGCTCGGGAAATGGGATTATCCCTTCCAAAAGACTAGAGTCAGAAGTAGCTGAAAACAAGCCAGCATGCTTACCCTTACTCAGAAAATCATCATGGTCTCTGAAGATAGCTTTATCTCTTTACTTGAAGAGATGCTGAAAATTAGGGTAGAATCAGAAATTATCCTTCAAAACTGAAAGAAAGCTTGACTTGAAATGACCCAGGAATTAGAATAAACTAGAGCTGTGGAATCTAAAGCTTTCCAGGAAAAGGGACAATTGAAATCAAAGAAGAAGGACAAGAAAGATACTATTTCTGAGGAGTTGTACATGCTGATAAGGTAAGTGGAGGCTCTTGCTGAGGTTGATGGAAAATCGAGGGGTTACCAAACCTAAAACCAGTCAATAGCTGGTGAAGCTGAAGAAATAAACACGATTTAAAACGCAGAAAGGTTACATGTTGCAAATACACTTTAACAAAAAACATGAAGAATGAACTTGAGCAAGGTTCTGTTCATCAAATCTGAGTCTCTATGTTTTGAGGTCTTCCTTTCAACAACATAATCACTTAAGAGAATAGGAGAGAGTTCAACCATACTGAGAACAGTTTTCAAAAATTTCTGATGAGGGGCCAGCCCCGTGGCCGAGTGGTTAAGTTCGCGCACTCTGCTTCAGTGGCCCAGGGTTTCGCTGGTTCAAATCTTGGGCGTGGATGTGGCACCGCTCATCAAGCCATGCTGAGGGAGCATCCCACATACTACAACTAGAAGGACCCACAACTAAAAATACACAACTATGCACCGGGGGACTCTGGGGAGAAAAAGGAAAAATAAAATCTTTAAAAAAAAAAATTTCTGATGAAATTCCATAAAGTTTAGGGCCAAATATTTAGGAAACTTTCTGTTAAACATATAGAACTGAGAGGTTACTTTATTTATTTACGTACATATTCAAAAAGCTTAAAGCTGAATCGTGTTTACAAGTGACTTAGAAAGTTTAATGGACACATATAATAGGCTACAAGCCAAGGTTTTTGTAGCTTTGAAATTTTAAAGATCCCCGGGGGCACATGCCTTTGGACTTCCAATCTCTGTAATGCTATAAACATTTATGGGAATCAGCATTCTATAGAAATAATGTATCTGTAGTAGACAAAATAATGGTCACCTAAAGAAGTCCGTGCTCATATCCCTGGACTCTGAATATGTTACCATATGTGGCAAAAGGGACTTTACAGATGTGATTAAATTAAGAATTTTGAGATGGGGAGATGACCCTGAATTATCCAGGTAGGCTCAATCTAATCTCATGAGTCCTTACAATTGGAGAACCTTCCCGGCTGCAGTCAGAAGAAAAGATATGGTAATGGAAGCAGGGTCAGAGAGATGCTATGTTGCTGGCTTTGAAGATGGAGCGAGGGGACCACAGCCTCTAAAAGCCAGAAAAGACAAGGAAACGAACCTTGATTTTATCCCAGTGAGACCCGTGTGGGACTTCTGACCTACAGAACTGGCAGACAATAAATGTATGTTGTTTTAAGGCCACTAAGTTTGTGGTAATTTGTTACAGCAGCAATAATAATATAGCATCTGTCTGGTAAAAATACAAGACCGTCATGTTAATCTTAAACCACTTTCAAAGGCTTTAAAAAGGGAAACTGCCTGAGAAGATTAAAGCCTGCTAACACACACATTGCATTAGCCTGGGATCTTATGTCCTGAGCATAAAGCAACTTAACACAGAAATCTATGTATATGTTCTTCTAAACAGCAATTAAACTCACAATTAGACAACTGGTTGTGTATGCTGATCTCCAGAACCCTCTACTCTGTGCTCACAGCCCACAAAAATTATTTTGACTATTAAACCAAAGCAATTTTACCAGAGACCCATGTGGCAAACTGTCAGGAACAAAGTCTGCAAAATACATGTTTAGTCTTAGAAAGATCATAACTCTCGCAGTACAGTTGGAACTCTTTTTTTAACATTCAATATCCAAAATTTACATTCAGAGAAATATAAACACGTGAATCACTGCTGAATCGGAACATCTGGATATTTTTGCACCAAAAAGAGATACTTTTTGTGACATTCTGAATTGTTTCCAAAGGTGTCTTCCTCTGGACCCCTGAGTTGTCAACATGAGCAAGTTTCTGGCAGGAGTCCTTAACAAAGGCAAACTAATGCAAAGACAAACTAATGCAAATCACTGTCATTGTTCCCGGTGTTGGCACTCTTCCTGCTTGAAGGAAAGGCAAATAAAAGGCATTTCACTGAGGATCTAATTTCCCTGGTGTGCCAAAGCTGATTTTTTAAAGCCACTTAGTGGATAAAGCTGTGTCCTTACTTTTAGGCTAATAAAAATATAAAACTCCAGACTTCATAAAGATTTTGTTTTCACCCAAGGTTCCACGAAAGTTTGAAACACCAGTCTCCCTCGATGCAATTAAAATATTTCAATTTATGGACAACTTTAAAGAGCACATCTATCAAAGTATAGGCCACTTAAATAGCGATAGGATTTGTCTGCCTGTTAAATCCCATTGCTCCCCAGAGATGAGAACATCTCTGTTATTAAGGGACTGCCCCAAGCCTTCTGAGTTAACCAGGTAAGGCTGCAAACAGGAGGAAGACTGAGCAGGCTAAGTCAGGGGCTGCCATAATGCTCTGCGATGGAAAAGCCTGCTGATATTTCTGTTGACATCTCATGCTCAAGGTGCTTAGGAAAGTATCACATTATTTGGCAAAAACATCCTGTGGCTGAATCAGCAGATTTAAGGGAAAGTCCCTATGTATGCCATTTGTATGCATACGAGGTTCTGGAGAGACATGTTTGGTTGACATAAAAACAAGAAACAACAGTTTAATGTACAACTAAATTTGCCTATATGCGGAGGTAACCTTAAATATCTTTGGTATTTTTTTTTAATTTGCTGATAAAAAGTACTTGAATAAAAACACTGATAAATACCAATATAATTGTATTGCTTTTAATTATGTAAACTTAGCCCTTTGATATCTTTGCTACTAAACCTAGATTCCCTATCAGCCTCTAAATAAATTTATTTCAAATCTGCTCATCTTTACTTACTTACAGGCTAATCTATATATTTTAATGGTCTTTAGTATGAAAATACTGATCTTGTAATATTTGGCATAAAAATGACATGCACATATCAGTACTTACAGCAAATAAGTCTTTGGAAAAGAAAATAGTTACCATTTGCATATTAGCCCTTTTGGAGTGAAATACCGTGAAGTAAGACCACTATGGGATATAAGTCAGAACCTTCACATTTTAGTTACAATTTCATACTCAAGACTTCAAAGAAGCTTGCTTTGGCCAAGTAAAAAAGAAGTCTTTGCTGTACACTAAATATCTTACTCAGTGAGATCAAAATATTTATCTTTGGTGAAAAGATTTTTTTTTTCTCTCCAACAAGTAGTTTCAACAATTTAAAATACTTGACTCTAATACTGTGGAGTTGAAGATTTACTTGCTAAAGAAAAAAAATTACACTTGAAATTCTTTGGAACTATTTGCTGGTAAAGAACGTATTTTAAATGCTCTGGTAACAATAAGGTAGTTAAAATTACTAGTCTATTTAACTATAACAATCAATATAAACCCTATTACTTTGGGTTAGTAACTACTCGTATAAACTTCATACCTATAGATGTTTCTAGTTAATTCAATTTGTGTGTGGGGGGAATTATAGTCAAATTTTCACTTTCTACTGAAAATTCTTTGGTAACAGATTATTATGAAAAAACCTGTATAAGAACAAGATGAAAGGTGAAAAAGTAAAACAATGTACTGGTAAATAATTAGCAAATAGTTATAGCCTAAAGATCTATAATAACTATGGGCCTATTCATCAAAAACCAAACAAACAAAATACTTTCCCCTCAAGGACTTCAGATCATCTTTTTAGGCTTTTGAAACAATTCAAATCCATACAATCCTAGACACATCTTCCATAATCATGATGGATGATGTGTTCGCTTTAGATTTTGTTTGCTTTTTAAGGAAAGTTTAAAAAATAAAATGAACTCATTGAACTCCTTAATTTCTGATACTGATAAAAGTTGGCCCCACATACTTCTACTTACAAACCCAAAAACGCCATACCCTGTCAATTTGCCCATGCTTCCATGAGGCAGCTCAAAAGTAACAAAATGTTCCCTGAGTACAGGAAAAAAAAATAATACTAGAATAACTTTAAAAGGAGGTAGTATAAAACAGGAGCTATAAAGGCAGGAGAGGCATTTTTCCTTGCCTCAGATTGTTCACCTAAAGCTCTGCTTCTTTTGTTTTGCCAGGAAGCCCATACTCAGATAGCTAAATGGGGGACTTTGAATTTAGTTCAGAAGTGGTTGCTGGCACTTAATGTTGGTATGCTTCTGAACACATCCAGTTTGGCACAAAACTACAGATTAAAAAACAGTAAAAAAAAAAATGTTGTATCATCAGATGTTAGGATAGGAGATGATAGAGGGGGGACTAATATTTGATTTTAGAACACCCTTTACCATGAGCCCCCCTTTCTAAACCAAAGGTTTCAAGGGGAAACCCATTAAGATTCCTTTTAAAACGAGGCACAAAAGTCATTTCCAGATAATTTGAAAAAATGCTTTAAAAAAGATATGGGGCCCCCTCTCTACACCATGTGTTTAAATCTTTATCCTCTCCCACCGCTGGTCACCTGGTAGGTAAGTGTCTCGTGATTGAGAGGAAGACTAGTCTATGTGGCTAAGGAAATAGTTTGCTGATTTCAAACCAGGAAGAGGATTAACTCACTCCTGAAGTTAGAACTTCTCGTTCACAGCATTGACACTGAAGGAAGAATAGAGTACCAAACTCTCTTACGAATTCAAGAAAATACAAGTAGGGTTGTAGAGCTCTGAATACTTAGCCCTAAACAAAACCTGCATGAAAACAAACCAAACGCTTTGATAAGATACTGTACATCAAAATAGTCATTGATATAATCCAAGAAACTCTTAAGGCAACTCTTTCTACTCCTGTCCTGAACAACTTCATGAATATTAAAAAGATATAAGGCAAGGAATTTCATAATATATAATGGAAGGCACTGTTACTATGATAACTCAAGTTCATTTTACTGCCTACTGTTGCATTTATCTTCATTCTTACTATTTCATGAAATTTCTTCACCACTTTAAGCCAAGCTGGGATTCCAAAAAAAAAAAAAAGAAACCAAATACTATAACCCATTCTTTATCTGCTTTCTGCATGGTTTTGCAGCTGATACTGGAAATGTTGAAGATGCTTTGCAATCTAGACAGTGCAGCCTTTGGCCGTGTCAGGCAAAGGGGAAGCAGAAAAGGCCCGGCTCTGGGCAGGCTGAGGTTTGGGATACAGCAGATCAAGCGCTCAGACCCAACGCCCACAACACAAAGGCCGTTGAAGCAACAGTATTCCCTCTATGCTACTGAGTAGTTCTGTTCTCAAAAGAGATACACTTTTTTGTTTTGGTTATTCATTAAAATAAACAGTCCCACTTTTTCTCTTCTCAGTGGTTTGACGTCCTCACAACCAGAGGTGTTAAATTATCCAAACCATGCAGATGTCATAGTTTTTTAAAAAATCAGAGCTTCAGATAAACATTCTTACTCATCTACCTATATGACTCCTTTGATCACACACATACACATACAGCAATGAAAACAAAATGCTACTAGGAAGTATCATTGGTTATGCAGCTGAGATAAACTATCACAACAAACGAGGTAACAAAGTTGTCTTCTGAGTTTACCACCTGGCAAACTGAGGTAGATAGTCAGCAAAGGGGCTTTCGAAAGTCTTCCCTTCGCTCCAGTGATATATTTTATAATCCAGTCAAATATCTTGACTGTCTTTTCACATTGCTGACAACGAAACATTCAAAATACGTGAGTTTAAAAATAAAAAACAAAACACATTCAAAAAAAGCTGAAATACCCAATAAGACATCAAGATTTTCACAAAAGGCTTTGGCTCCCTGTTCATTGTCCTTCGAACAGGCTCAAAGGTGAGAATACCTGAACATGGCCGTCTAGATTGGAAAATCATTTTTATCAAAGCACATCATGGCAGATGGGGGCTGCAGAACGGAAGAGGAAGTTTGCTCAGCATCCAATGGCACTGCAGGGTCGTCACATCTCCTCAGTGAGGGATCCCCACCAGAATCACTGCCAGTGAAGGAACTGGAGGTCAGGGGGGTGGTACTTATAACTGAAGACAGGTGTATCTCATCATTGGACTCGTGGGAGAACCTTCCAGAATCCCCAGTCTCATGGCTGCCTTCACTATTCGCCGAATGCTCAGTATCAGCTGTAACACCAAAGGGTCTTGGGAAGCTGGTTGTTTGACCTGGGGAGCTGGGGGAGTCTTCATCACTGATTAATACAGTAGTGCCTGGCTGGTAAAAGCAGACTGCTTGAGTAAATCTTCTTTGAGGCTGGGCAAAAATACATAAAACACCATCAGTGACAATAGAGGGCTCTGAAAAATAATAAATCTGGTTTTACACGTTCTATATATTCTGAGATAGCAAACTGTTCAAGTACATGGGTGAAAAGTCATCATCATGAAGGGTTTGTCTAGGTCAGGGTTCCCCACCAAGGAGTAGGAGCACATCAGAATTACTGGGTCAAGTGAAGTGTCAACATGCTTCTTCAGGGATTCTGATGCACGCTCCTACCCCATCCCTTTCTCCATTGCCCCTACTCCCCACTGAAAACTACAGCTCTGATCACTGTTCCAATTGTCATTTCAGTAATCACCCACCATGACTTTCCATAGAGTCATGCCCAAAATTAATAAAATCCCATCCAGACAGAAAACACAGAAATTAGAGCATTCATTTATGTTTTCCTCTCTTTGAAATTATCATTTCATATACCACAGGTTGTCAGAGACTTTTCTCATTTAGGTGGGTTACCTGCTCAACTTTCGTCTTCTTAGAATCTTGGAAAAAAAGCCATTTTTTCTTAGAGTTGTTTTTAATTATAGGACCATAGCTATTAATTATCAGGTCCGTTCCTCCCTAGAGAAATAAAAGGGGAAAATGTAAATATCTTGGTATTATAGATTTCAGTTTATCACAAGTAGTACACAAAATATTTAACTGTTAAAAGAAATCACTATTTCTTCTTAAAAGAAATCACTATTTCTTCTTTTACACAAGCAGCACACAACAAATTCAGGGTATTTGTGAGCGATCAGAAAGATATAATAGGTTTCTTCTCTTTTTTTTTGAGGAAGATTAGCCTTGAACTGACATCTGCTGCCAATCCTCCTCTTTTTGCTGAGGAAGACTGGCCCTGAGCTAACATCTGTGCCCATCTTCCTCTACTTTCTATGTGGGACGCCTGCCACAGCATGACTTGCCAAGCGGTGCGTAGGTCTGCACCCAATAACCGAACCAGCGAACCTTGGGCTGCTGAAGCAGAACATGCGAACTTAACCACTGTGCCACGGGGCTGGCCTCAATAGGTTTATTCTTAAGAGAGATAAATATGCTGAAGTATTTGGGGTGAAGCATAATGATTCCAAAACTTCTTTTCAAATGGGACAGCAAACAAAAAGAGAGAGAGAGAGAAAAATGATAAGATATTGACAATTATTTGTGCATTCCTCATATTATTCTTTCAACCTTTCCAGATGTTTGAAAAATTTTAAAAGCATTTGGGGAGGAAAAAAAATGGGCCCACATACATTCAACAAAATGGCAACAGATGGGGGATCAAGCCTTAGGGTAACCCAAAAGATCTGTCCTCTAAACTGGCTTCTCTCCTTCACTCAGGCCTCCACTCTGCACTGCCTCCTTTCACTTTAGATTCTCCCTCTATTTTTCCACATCTTCCTCCCACTCTGCTTCTCCTCAATCCTTTCTCATGTCTAGTTCCAAGTAAGTAGTAACAGAACCACAGTGTATTTTAGTACTTCTTATGCTTAATTTAAAAGTTTTAGTTTCTAATGTTTTAGATTAATTTGAAATAAATTGAATGGCTTACATTTCTATTAGAAAATAAAAGCTAAATTAAATTGCAAACAAAAAAGACAAGGGGAGTAGCAAAAATCAGTTCATTCTTATTTACCCATAATATTTATAGCCCATAGCACTATGCTGGATACAAGTAGATTGCATCTGTTAAATACAATTGTATAAAATTTAATAGAAAAATTGTCTGAAATTTTGTTACATTTTTGTTATTCTAAATTTTAGGGAAGTGTTGGGGAAAAATAATTTATAGCAGGATTTGGCCAACTTGTTCTCTAAAGGGCCAGAGAATAAAGATTTTAGGCTTTGTAGACCACATATAACCCCTATCATGTTTTCTCCTTCTTCTTTTCTTTTTTTCTTTATCCAAACTACCTTTAAAAATGTAAAATTCTTAGCTCAAGGGGTGACCATACAAAAACAGGCCATGGGCTGGGCTGGGCTGTAGTTTACTGACGCCTGAATTTATAGCACATTGGTTAAGAGAGCTATTACAATAATGCACACTATCTAATGTTGCAGGGTGACTAAAAATAATTTTTAGTTGGTGCTCGTAATGCTTATCACTGTACTATTATTACACATAGTGGAAAGGACATGAAGTAACATCCTCTAATGACATTACTATCTCCAACTTCCTCAGGCCACAAAGGGAAGGATCTTGAGACATCTATTGAGATGTTCCATATTTTTAAAATGTTATTCTTACCCAGAATGTTCTGATGCTCAATTCAGTTCAAAAATCAATCAAACTAAGTCTAAAATGGATTAATAAAAAATTGTCCACCCGGAAAATACAAGGAAGTTTAAATTATAGTATATATAGATGAATGATCCTGGTGTCCTTATTTAAGACATCTTAGCTCCATATAATCCCATCTAGTTGAATTTACACTAACTTCTCATTTTTTCTCTCTCTCTTTCATTCTTTATTCTTTTATCCTTTATCTAACCCTATCTTCTTCTCCTCAAATATTTTACATAAGGAATGATCTGGGTGAAACTCTTCTACATTTCCTTAAGTGGAGTACAGATAAAATACATTCAATATATAATTTTTTAGTAAGTAAATTTTACACATAAAGAGAAGATGAATGGAGGAAAGGATTACACAGCAAGTCAGTCTCTCAGCTGGGAGTACCTTTGCATCAATGAAGTTGTTTGGCATTATCATCGGCATTAAGGATTCTTCATTTTCTACAGCTCCTTCCAGGTTCTTTCCTACTTCATTCCCAATAGCTAGGGAGGCACTGGTCCGAGATAAATGTTGAGTGCCATTCTGTACCATCTTGGAAGCTGATGATTTTCTAAGATATTGCAAGAAGAAGAAACTTCTAACTTCACAGAAGATATAGGCAAATGTACCAGATTTGGCCTATAATCACAACTTTGAAAACAATGGAATTGTTTAATGCTATTTCTCAAATATCTTTAGAAACTAAGTAATCAGATTTTAACTCCAACGCATTGTTGCAAACTTTTGTGACTTGAGGAAGCTTTTTTCTTTCTTTTTGCCCCAATATCTGCTTATATAAAATTGCTTTTTACAAACACTTAATAAAAAACTTAATATTCCCCAAGTGCTATTATTTAGTATTATTGATTATTTACAATTTGTGCAGAAATTATAATTTTTAATTTAAACATTCTCCTTCAGGTCTGCCGTGTGTCACACTAACATAACAATTCACTTGCTGATTAATGATGGCAAATTGACAGCAGAACTTCTGCAAGATTTAGGCATCACTAAAACTGTGTGCATAAAGAGTTTATTAAAAATTCTGAAAGTGAGAAACTTGGACGGTAAAACTAAGCCAGTTCAATATACAAAAAGATGTTAGCACTAACTCTTTCATTAATACAAAAGATTTTCTGAGTATGTTTCTGTGCCTAAGTACCAAAAGCAAAGAGAGTAAACTCTGAATAACCTATGCTAATGGAAGGAGTCTAGTAACTGGAATTACCTAAAAGTGATATGTATTTGACTTTGATTTTTTTTTTTTTTTAAAGATTTTATTTTTCTCCTTTTTCTCCCCAAAGCCCCCCGGTACATAGTTGTATATTTCGTTGTGGGTCCTTCTAGTTGTGGCATGTGGGACGCTGCCTCAGCGTGGTCTGATGAGCAGTGCTATGTCTGCGCCCAGGATTCGAACCAACGAAACACTGGGCCACCTGCAGTGGAGCGCGCGAACTTAACCACTCGGCCACGGGGCCAGCCCCTGACTTTGATTTTTTTAATTGAAAAAAGACCTTAAGAAAATAAATAAAAGCAAAAGCCAAAATATAAAGGTTAGAAAGAGACAAGTTCACCGAATGCTGAGAGTTTAGCTGAAGTCCAACTATAGATCAGATTTTTTGACAGAGTTTATAGAGAACCAATCTCCAGTTATTACACGTTTTAATCCATATCTGGAGAATCCGAAATGTATGCCTTGTGGTGGTGAGAGTGGAGCTCCAGGCATTCCAGGCTACTTAAATATGAAACTATTCCAGACAGTAAAAAAATCTTCTCAAGCAGAAGATACATCAGATAGTGTCATTAAAAAAAAAAAAAAAAAAAACAAACCCCAAGGACATCCTTTGTTTTTCTCAAAATACTAAGGAAATGAGGCAACTACGACCTCATTTAAGAATATTTTATTGGCAGAGTAATTTTTCAAATGGCAAGAAAATAATAGCCTTCCAAAGTGAGCACACCTCTATAGCTGTAAGAACTCAAGTAACAATAATTTTAAAGTGGGAAATCCCAGTTACTCTAAAAGGCACTTGATTTCAATTTGCTTCTCGTGGTTACTGCAATTTAAATGTTTTTTAACCACCTCCACATCGCTAGCAATGGAAACACACCTGGCTTTACTTCGGTATATCAAGATGAGAACACAGATGAGGATGCAGGTCAAGGCGATGCCAACGCCTACGGCAATGCCAGTCATTGATTTTTGGTCCAGATGGTAATAGCCTGAATAAACTAGAAGGGGAAACACATTCACTCAGAATCAATCAGAAAAATAAATGATTCTATTTATCCTAATTCTCAGATATTTGCTTTTCTATAGTTTTCTTTTATCTCATTGGAAAACTCTTGGCCTCTGTGTCTAAGCAGAAAAGACATACATTACTCTTTCATAAGTTCTCTCAAAGATGGGTCTTTCATAAGTTCTCTCAAAGATGGGTTTATCTTCCAATACTGAAGATTTTAAATATGAGTTCTAGATAATAAATTATTATATCAAACATGAACATCAGTTAATAATTTATAATGCTAAAAGGCACAAGGCAGAGATGTTCCTTGAGGAACCAAGGGATAGCTTTCATGTCATGTTACCTTAAAAGCAGATGTGTATGTATATAGAAGATTAGTTTTCCATGTACGTATTTGCATTTCCATAGCACTGCTTCTTAAATTTTAATGTGCATATGAGTCACCAGGGGATATGTTAAAATGCACATTGTGATTCACCAGGTCGGGGGTGGGGCCTGTGATTCGGCATGTCCAGGAAGCTCTCAGGTGATTCTCATGCTGCTGGTCCTCAGACACTTTGAGTAGCAAGGTATTTGGGAAGGGAATGTGAGCCCTGCTCTCCACTTCCCCTGATGAGATGGTAGCTACCGTGGCCACCTCCTTCCTGTGCTGAAATCTGACTGCCCTGCCCTTCTCTTTTTTTCTCCTCTCCTTCCCAGTCTGTCTCTCTCTTTCACACACACAAAAACACACAGACACACTCACATACACACGCACACGCAGCACTGAATGACTACCCTCGAAGGAACGAGGAATCCTTAATGCTGTCCTGAGTTCAGCTTGCTTTTCCTCCGTTTAAAGCTGTTCCTTGCCCCCAGTGCAGACACACCAGGCCCACTCCCCCAGAGAGGAGGAAAAGGAGGTGCCTAGTCGACTCTGTACCACAGGAGTCCCCCGCTTCCTTCAGAACAGAAGGAAGTTGCCCTGAGTGGAGTGAGAGTGGCTCTTTGAAGATATTATTTCCAAATGCTTTCTGGAGAGAAACAACTTTCTCTCTGGAAAGGCTGGTTTTTTTTTTTTTTGTGGTAAAAACTCTTAATGAAAACCATGCTCTTCTTAGCTTGAACACCACAACCACCACTGCTGTTTATTCCCATGAAACCTCCCAGGAAGCCTACTCCCACCAGTTCATGTGGGTGTGGCTCGTCTGTGTTGGTGGCTGCACAGCTGGGAAGAGAAGTAACTGGGACACAGTGGTCTGAAAAATGCAGTTACTTCTGAGGTAGGTTTGTCTCCTTCTGGGAGCGCAGAGAAGAGCTCCGAGACTCCACAGCATCAGGACCTCACCAGCAACAACTCCAGGAGCAGGTTTCGGCATACGGCCACGGTAGGGGGAGAAATAAAGTGCTGAGGAGTCGAAGAACACATATGTATTCTATTTTCTTAAGAAAAATCAGGGACTAGGGCAGCATACAGACCTTTGGCATCAGCAGAATCTAGACGCTTGGGCCTCTGATTTGACTCAGAAGTTTCCTTTGGAAGTACTGCCAGCTCTACAGAATTTGAAAAGGGTCCTTCTCCCACCTCATTAGAGGCAGATATCTTGACGATGTACACATTTCCTGCCACCAGGTTTTCTAGCAAGGCCATGGTCATTGCCCCTATATCAATTACAAATTAAGAAAACTTTACCTTTTATTCATTTTTTTCAATCACACAATTATGGTCCTTTATTTTTTTATATTTTCATTTTATTATTTTTTTTTTTTGAGGAAGATTAGCCCTGAGCTAACATCCGCTGTCAATCCTCCTCTTTTTGCTGAGGAAGATTGGCCCTGAGCTAACATCGACGCCCATCTTCCTCTACTTTATATGTGGGACGCCTGCCACAGCATGGTTTGATAAGCAGTGCTAGTCCATGCCCAGGATCTGAACCAGTGAACCCTGGGCCGCTGAAGTGGAGCACATGACCTTAACCGCTATGCCACTGGGCTGGCACCGTGGTCCTTTATTTTTAAAACGTATGTATAATGTTTTACTCTTTATATAGATATGGATACAAAGAGCACTAAAAATACTTTATTATGGAATATTTCAAACACAGGTAAAGAGAGAACGGTATAACGAACTCAGATCTAACAATTATAATTAGATTTTTAAAATCCAAAGTGAGAGTCTGTTTTTTCTTTTAGAAATGTTTAAACCACTCGTGGTAATCACTGTGACAGATGATCTTGTTCTTACTTCTTAAATTAGAAATAATAACACAATTATTTTTGAAAGTATGAACATATTTTTCACCCTCCTAATCATTATCCTAAGATTTCTTAAATATAAACAGGAAATAAAATGTCAAAGTCATGTAGGAACCTCAGAGTGTTGAAGACCTAGACCTCAGATTAACTACCAAAATCATCACCAGCAATCTGCCTAGCATCTACTTCTCTCCAAAAGTAATCATCATTTGAATTTATGTACGATATTTGGGACTGAAAGGTCTCTGTTGTCATGACTGCTAAGGATCCCTATTTGGGTACTGCTATTTCTTGAGGGGTCTGTCTGCTCTCGTTCTGCCACTGCACTGAAGTATTTTTCTTACAAAAGAGACTCCCACCCTAGGAATTAATCCTAACGTTAAGAAAGGAGGTGTAATAGAAATTCAACCAGAAAGTTGTTCCAGTACAGCATCTGTGGGTGGCTATTCACAGGGGAAACTAGCTTTCCTCCAGTGATTTCATCTCATTTTTTCCTGACTCAGGGCATCTTTACAAAGCTTCAAAGAGCTTACAATAGCTTGTGGCAGATACCTCCAGGCCAGAGCTGGCTACTCTAGTGAACTTGCTAGAGTATATTTCATAATGCAAGTGAAATGTGGGGTGATCTTAGAGCTAAGGTCATGATTCAGAGGCCACCTCTGCAGGTCACATGGCGTGAGGCAGCCGAACCCAATGGCTATGTGAGGAGCCAAACACGGCTTGTTTTCATGTTCTTTGGTTTCAACTTGGCCTGGAGGGAGTGTGAGCAACCTGAGTACACAACTGTTAAATAAACAAACCGACCCTTATTCAGAATCGGGAAGACTCTTTCCACTGTTACCATGTTCTCAGGCAGGTGAATTAAAAAACAAAGAAGTATTGTGACATGTCACAATTAGCTACAAGGAAGAGCATTTCAATTTCTTCACAAATAGACATATAAATCAATAGAGTTTCTGTTGATCATAGAATACTTTACATTTAATTTTAAAAAGTGCTTGGCAAAAACCAATCACTACCAGAAATTAAAAGTCTCTTCATTTAATTAAATTTATAAGCGGACGAGCTGGGCAGTGTGTGTATGTGCACTCCCCTTCCTTCCAGAGTCTTCCTTCAGACCAAAAAGGGAAACTAACATTCTGGTTTCCCTGTGAGCACAGTCAAAGCAGTTCTCAAAGAGTAAAGTGATCTGACTGTCTGTATTTTCTCAGCAGACTGTCTCAATCTCAGTGAGTGCGATTATTTCAGTCTACTGCTTTTTATATGTGTCTGAATCTTTAGCTAGACTAGGAGTTTCACATACCCGATACCCGACAGTGTGACAGGCTCAGTCTTGGAGCAATATTGATCAAATGCTGGTATGCTACCCACCAAGTAACTTGTGACTTGGGGCACGTTACTGTACTTTACTTTCCTCCTGGGGGCAATAATTCCCACCTCATAAAATTATTATAAGGATTAAATAAACCGGCAGGTGTCTGACACAAGAGTATATACCCAACGCAAGTTAAGTTGTCTTCCTCATCTCTGACCTCGCCATCTGCCCTTTCTGGAGAACAGAAATTTTTTTCATATTTGAACAGCTTATAGTGGCTAGCATAATGCTTTGTACAAGACAATTCTCAGTAAATGCTGATTAAACTTACATTAAAATATGAGCTATTTGTCACCAAAGGAGTGTTCCTTGAAAATATAAAAGCAAATGGTAAGATTTCGAGGTGGGAGAAGTGCTGCAGAATGCAGTCAGACCTCGCTTCTGTCCACACTCTCTAAGTGATTTTTCTCCAGTTCCACAGTTTTAAATATCATCTACACACTGCTGACTTCTAAGTTATACCACTAGACCACACCTCTCCCATGAACTTAAACCCCCGCTGCTTACTCAACCTCTCTACTTGGACATCTAAGAGACATCTCGAATTTTAACATGTTCAAACCAAACCTTTGACTTCCCCCACCAATTCTCCTTCTCTTTTTTTCTTACATTCCACATCAATCTGTGGCAAATCTAGCGGGCTGTTATTTCAAATTATATTCTAATAGCTTCTTATTACTTTCCCCGTTATCACTCCTGTCCAAACGCCCACCAACTCTCACGTGGACACCTGTGTATTAATGATCTCCCAACTTCTACTCTTACCTCCTTAGAATCAATTTTTCAGGTGGCTGTTTCAGGTGGCCGCCAGAGTAATCCCTTTAAAATGTAAATCTGATCAAAAGCCTCCAATGTCTTCCACCTCTCTTAGAATAAAATCTGTGGTCCACAAAGTCTGTCCTATAAGATCTACTCTTGGTTACCCCCCACCCCCAACCCCTCATTTCCCACTACCTGCTCTTCCCCTCACTCTAGCCTCCCTGGCCTTCTTCTTGTTTCTCTAACATGCCAAGCACACTTCTGTCTCAAGGCCTGTACAATTTCCTCAGATATCCACATGGCTCTGCTCAGATGTCATTTCTTCCAAAAGAACTTACCTTACTACCTCTGTCACTTTGTCTCTTCCCCATATCGTAGCTCTCTTTATAGCACTTATGACACTACCTGAATATTTATATGTTTGTTTGTGTATTGCCTGAGATGTAAGCTCCAATGGGGAAGGGACATTGTTTTGTTGCCAATGCCTAGAGAAGAGCCAGTCACACAGTAATCACTCAATAAGAATTCATTTACTAGATCACTATGTTCGACTATTAGCAGTCCAATTTATTTGGCAAACGTTGAGTTAAATGGATTCCTTTATTGAACGACTTTAATTTCCAATGTGAATCTCTAATAGGAGGAAATAATATATGATGTTTCTCAAATGTATTTAGTTAAGGAACGTTTTGTTTCAAAGAAGGGCATCTTTACAATTTTGGGAAACTCATACTTTGAGCAACAGAGTTCAGGAACTACTGTGGTGGAGCATGATTTCCCACAGTGCCTTTCAGATTTTAAAATAATTGAGTAGTTTGTGCTGATTTACTGCATATGAGGAAGGTAAGGGCTATAATTTCTGATCCACTTTATATTACACACAAGCATAATTTCATATCACATTTCTGCTCCAACCATTTTCACCATGTACAATTTTAGCCGCAAATATCATATGGTCACCAGGAACATTTTTTTAATGTTTTGACTAAGAAAAAAAATCTTATTCCACTTGGCAATAAATATGTGAATTAACTAAACATGTAAATATGTATAAACATAATATGTGTAGAAGAAGATTAACAGACATACAGGAAAGAGAGATTGATACTCTCCCTCTTCTTTTTTACCCCATCTTTTTCTGTATCTTTTACCTTTCCCAAAGTTGCCATAATTAGATACTAAAGACTATTTTACATTTTATTTTTTCTTTAAATCCCATGTTGTATTCTTTGCATTTGTTTCAAGGTGGGTGACTCAAACCCTTTATATTTTTCTCTCTCAAAAAAGTAAACTAAATTGCTTTTTACTCATAATTGTTTATTTTGTTCTCTAAGAATTACTAGCATTAGCTATGAAAAAGGTTCTCTACATTTAACAAAAGACAAAGCTTTACACCGAGAATGTTTCTTAAAATCACAAAAGCAGGATACTAGGAAAACTACTGTTTCTCTATGCATGATTATATAGTTACAAAGGCTTGTATAAATATAAAAACCTGCAATTACAATTCACTTCACTCATGGGCCATCAGTGAGGCAAAATGTTGTTTTCTGAGCCTTGTCTGAAACTGACAAATTAATGCATTGAAAGGAACCAAAACAAAATACTGTTTAGTTTTAGGCAGGTACACAATGAAGAGCTAAATGAGGTATGTGCTCATGTGATCAAAATCCTTTATTAATAGTTATAGACAACATCTCATGAAATCATGTTAGTCCTTTGATCAAATGTTGTGCCAATAAATCATTTTGGAGTTAAACCGAATTATACATTTTAAGAATATTGTGGTACATTTGTATGGTACATTTTGGTGGTGAACATGATGTAGTCTATACAGAAGTCCAAATATAATGATGTACACCTGAAATGTATATTTTATAAATTAATTTTACCTCAATTAAAAAAAAAAGAATATTGTGGTATATTTTAAGACTAATAGCCCCAAATAAATTATGCCTCCATCTAGCTACACTTGTGGGCAGTCCTTCCTACACTAACTCTGGGCTTGCCTACGTGATTTGCTTTGCCCAGTGAGATATTAGCAAACGTGATGCAAGCAGAGGCTTGCAAAAGCTTTGTACATGGGGCTTCCTTCCTCTCTTCTGATGTTGGAACTCTCCCTTGCTGTTTTTAAGCTACCCACATTCTGTTGAAACTGTAAGATGATTATAGCCACATAAGTGACCTCAGGAGAGACCAAGAGAAGAACTAGCCAGCTGATCCCAGACCAAATTGCTGACTCACAGAATTGTGAGAAAATAAAATGGTTAAGGTTTAGAGTGGTTTGCTAGCTAGCAACAGATAATTGATACAAATATAAAACTGTATTGATGGCAAGTACTTAGTAATTTCAAGTCTCTTCAGTGGCTAGGAAATCATTATTTAGTGGGGCTTCTGTTTTAGGAAACATATGAATATACAATTATCAAAATTCTAGCTAAAATTGCCATTTGTTTATTTTACAACTGCATTTATATTACATCAATGTAAAAGTCTGTTTTTTCTTTTTAAAGATTGGCACCTGAGCTAACATCTGTTGCCAATCTTCTTTTTTTCTTCTTCTTCTCCCCAAAGTGCTCCAGTATGTAGCTGTATATTCTAGTTGTGGGTCCTTCTAGTTGTGGCATGTGGGACGCCACCTCAGCATGGCCTGATGGGCGGTGCCATGTCCGGTCCAGGATCCAAACTGGCAAAACCCTAGGCCGCTGGAGCAGAGCAGGAGAACTTAACCACTCAACCACCGGGCCGGCCCCCACATAAATGTCTTTAAAGTATATTCTCTTAATTGGGTAGCTATTCCCCTAAAAGGTAAAATGTATATAGAAGTGCCTAGTACTGTAAAGTGTTTAGAATATGTAGATGGCCAACAAATTTCCTTCTTGAAATTCTTAAGTTTTCATTGCTTGACAAACAGTTCCTTTCCCAGCATGCATGTCTGAATTAAGAAAGTGCCAAAATAATGAAGTTTGACTATTTATGTGAGGGCCTAATTAAAAAGTGGCATATGAGACTTGTCCAAATGAAAGATCCAAAAACTTTAAAGAGGATATAACGATAAAAGCATGCAGTAAGAACACTGAGTTTTAGAATTCAGTTTTTCTCAGCTAAAAAAAAAATTGGTGTTAAAAAGTTAAATTCAGTGTTCTTAAGACCTACCCAGCTTTTCTCTGTACTTAAGTGGACCCTAGTGTCATATGGGTCAATGTATTTGCACATAGACCATTTCAGTAGCTGTACAAAGGTCTTCTCTCTTAAACCAGATCTTCTTTCAGTGTTTGCTGCTCCAGGGCAAGACACATCCCCACTGGAAATCTAGCAATTATCTATAACAAATTCTCCCTCCCTTACCCGCCTCTCTCTCTCCTTAAGCTAGCAAGCCCTGTTGATTTTACCTCCTTAATATCTTTGAGCCATCCTCTCCTTTCCACCTCAATCCTTTACCATCTCTTTCCTGGACCACTACCATTACTAACTAGTCTGTCTGTGCTACTCCTCCCCTACTCCTCAACCAAACCTCTTCTATTCACAATGGTCAGTGTGATCTCTCTGAAACGTGAATCATATGCTCATGCTTAAAACACGACGATGGCTTCCAATGCTCCCAGAATAAAATCAAAATGCTTCACAATTTGCTACTTCATAAATAAAAATTCAAAACAAACTCTAGATCCCTCTTTCCCTTTGTTTCCTTATATCATTGATAATCTTACTTTTTATCCTGTTTGGTAATTTATGATTGTATTTACCTTCTCGGTGTAGGACCTGCCACTCTCCTGCAATCCAGGCCTTCCTGGACGCATATAAGATAGTATAGCGCGTCACAACTGTCTCTGGGCCATCAGGGGGTTTCCAAGAAACCAGAGCAGTGTCATCTTCTATCAACGTCACCTTTACTCCAACTGGTGGGCCTGCTGGTGCTGTGCACACATGTAGAAAATATGGCATCACTAGGATAAAATGGCCATAAACACTCAAATATCTGGCTAATAGACTGATAGGCATAGAAAAGAGTTTGAAAACTAGAAACCACTATAAAAACATCTAAAAATCACAGCTTTTACAGATCATTAATGATGATAGTAAAATAGTATTTTTTATTCTTTTCCTGAAAGTTTATTTCATTTATATAATGTTCAAAATGTTAAAAAAAAAAATATAAAGGAGATGGTAAATTCCTAGATGGGGAATTACTAAGTCAAGGTTGTAAGCATTTTTAGGGCTCTTGATATTGTTTTGCCAAATAGATAAATAGAAAGGTTTGCAGTTCCACCAGTAGCATCTGCCCATTAGACATTGAGTATCACTCCACTAGATACTGAATCTAAGTTACACTTCTTACTAAAATGTATAGAACATATATTTAACCTGATCCAGGAAGCCACTGAAGAAAGCACTTCTGAGACCAAAACATTTAGTCATTGCCCAAAAAACTGTCAATCAGTGAGTTTATAGGGCAGACTTTAGAATAATAATTTATAGCCATGAAAAGTGGTGAAGTCTTGGGATTTTAGTTGACCCCAGGTTTAATATGAGCTAAAAGGCTGAAGAGCTGCTTTTTGGCATCACATTTGGAATATCGCCAATACCACCGCAAGGAAGCCCTATGCCCGCTGAAGTAAATGTCTTTTGCTTTCTCTCAGCATGATTATACAGAGCTGCGATGGTCCTTAGAGATCATCCAGTCCTCCACCCTCACTCTAGAGAAGAGGAAATGCAGGTCTAGAGACGCAAAGTATCTTGGCGAGAGCCATAGGTAAGCTTCAGAACTGGTGCCCTATCAGGCATCATATCCACTGCACTACGCACAGCATCAAGCCACCAGTCAAACAGAAATAGGTTCTACTGTGGGCTCCTAACATTAAATACACCATTCACTTACTTTCCTTTTAAATAATTTGGGAGCAGCCTTGAAAAGCACACTTGATTAAAAAAATTTAGTTTCCCCTAAAAAGACACTTAAATTTAAGCCCCCTTGTTTGTGCAATACAAACACTGAGAGGAAAGAAATTTTAAATATAATAAAGGAAAAGAAATTTCAAAAGTTAAGAAACAAAACAAATATATACACATCAACTGGTGGGTAGCAACCATGGCAGTATTCTCTTTAAAACTACATACATATTTTTTAAACATTTAGATAAAGTCCATAGGGGAGGTGCTTTCTTTACCTTCTGGAAGAGTAGCCTGGTAGACAACGGGGCTCCAGGGACTGGAAAGCTGATCCACATGTAATCGAACAGCAAATTCATATTTGGTGTTTGGTTCCAGACCTTGAACCAACATGTGAGTTTCTGATCTATAACAATGAGTGACGAAGTTGTTAATGCTGATAGCACATTGTTAGTACTTCCACTCAATACAGGTATCGACCATTATTATTACTATTATTCATTAACTCCTCATTTTCTTTAAAAACTTTTTTAGGAGGAGGGTGAAAGGAGTAATAGAGCACATGTGTACGGTGATGAATGGTAATTAGTCTTTGGGTGGTGAACACGATTTTGTCTACACAGAAATAGAAATAAAATGGTGTACACCTGAAATTTATATGTTATAAACCAATATTACTGCAATAAAAAAAGGAAAAAAATTTTTTTAGACTAAAACAGTAGCAATCTAATTTGACTATTAACATACATTTGGTATAGACATAAGCTTACACATTGCCTCTCTGAGAGGAAACTAGGAAATTAACAGTATAGAAATGTCCCAATACAGAGGGATTTCCTCTGAAATACTGGAAGTCAAACCAGTCTTTTAAAGCATAGTGGTAGGCATCTTTCTATTACCTAGAAAACAGAATAACTAGCTTTATTTTTTGATGCCAACATGAAAATGGTCTTTTGTTTCTTTCTTTAAACATGCTGAGTTTGGCCACTTGAAAGTAATAATAGCTTCCTGCCTAATCTTGTTGCATGAGGCTGGGGAAATAAAAAAATCATTTATGAAAATTAAATGTCAAAAAATGCAGTTTTCAGAACTAAATATGTTAAAGATGCAAAATCTCCAGCCATTTTATAAGTAGGATAAGTTCTGAGACAAATGCTTACAGCTGAAGCTCAAGCTGGCCCAATATGGTAAGAAGTGTGAGTGGGGAGGAAAGCAAAGAAAACAACTATTAATAGAAGCTACATACGTTTGAAGGTACAGAACCAAAGAAGCATTCTGCAGGCCGACAGGGTTACAGCGGATGGTGTAGTTAATTACTTGGGCAGTGGTGAACGCAGGCCTCCTCCAGTGCAGGAAGATGGAAGACGAGGTGTTGGCCTTTGCATAGAGGTGGTGGGGTGGTGGTGGAGGAGGAACCATCCGATCTCGAACAGCTATTGAAAAAGACAATGCCAATTTACCACACAGCATAACATTTAATGTAGAAAGTGGTAAAATGGTAAAATCATAATACCCCACCCTAAGTTGACCAGGTCTTTCTTCCACCAGAGATTTATAGTGGTCTAGAGATACGTCATTCCAATCTGAGCAACTCTTCCATGAGTTAGATAAGGAATCAAACATTATCAATACTTAAAGCGGAAAACAGAAGCAGAGAGAAGTCAGGCTAGCAGCCAAAAATATCCAGAAATCCTCTTCAGTAGCAATAAAACCAAACAGCTCTTAGAAGCAATAAAACTGAACAGCAACTGGAAGGAAATAATTAGCTTCAAGGTTAAAGCAGATAAAAGAAAACTCAGTATGCAAGTATTCAATGGCTATTTTACCCGGTCAAATTTCTAATGGTCTTTTGCATGCAAAACTAAAACAGATTCTTATAATTAAATATATCTCACTTAAATATTTACTGAGCACATGCTTGTTTAAGACACTATGTTAGGCACCATGGAGGATATAGGGCAATAAAACCACCAAGTCTCCAAGTAGTAATGAGACTTAAATTTAAAGGAGGAGGAGGAGAAAAAGGAGTGTGAGCCATAGTGAAATGAGCTCCTTACACACGCATCCTGGAGTGCTGGCTGTCTGGTCTGCCTGGTAGCCATCCTCTATGTTGCTGTAAGCCAGCAGCCTCACATGATATTTTCTTCTGGGGTCTATAAAGAAACCAACAGGTAATAATTAGGTCCAGCACTCTAGATATGAGCAAGGGTGCTAGAGCCTTTCTAGATTTTGGTTTAAAAACCTTCTCAGTGCATAACAATTCCAAGTAAAATGAAATTTTCATTCTCTCCCTCTCCTACACAATGACTCAGCAATTCACCGGAGAATGTATAACATTGTCATTGTGACTATCTACCAATTATTTAAAATTTTACTTTACTTACCTTCCCTTCAAACAATAACATTATCACCACCACTCTTCCTCCTCCTCCTCTACTGACCAGAGACAGATTTTTGATTTTAAAAGCCTTGGGTTGTGCGATGGATCACTTATAAGAGGTTACATATGTAGAAGTTTTTGTTTAGTTATTTCATGGGAGATTACTTAAAAGCATGGAAATCAAAGCGACATTGTTTCCTCCTCAAAGTTAAGAAGAATTACAATGATCATCTTTTAGTAGTTTTGAAAGTTTTTATAACCATGTGTTATTTAAGTTTATTTCTAAGTGTGCCCTTTCCGCAAACCTGGGTTATCAAGTTGAAAGCTAAACTCACCAAGAACGATGGGTTGGAGCTCCCTCTACTGGGTGCTCATTAACCATCACAATACAAAAACTAAAGTCTGTCTCATGCATATTAAAACAAAAATTTTTTTCAAGCCTTTGAGGAAATAAATGATTATAAAGTTTAAATGATATACTTTATAAGATATTCAATAGTTTAATGATATAAATACATTTAAATGTAACTGTTTGTGATAACATTTAACTAGAGTACTTAGGGTAAAAATAAATACTATTCAGAAATAATGCATTTCATTTTTCCCCCAGCTTTACTGAGGTACAGTTGACAAATAAAAGTTGTATATATTTGGGCCAGCCCCGTGGCCGAGTGGTTAAGTTTGCACGCTCCGCTTCAGTGGCCCAGGGTTTTGCCGGTTTGGATCCTGGGCGTGGACATGGCACCACTCATCAAGCCATGCTGAGGCAGCATCCCACATGCCACAACCAGAAGGACCCACAACTAAAATATACAACTACGTATTGGGGGGGATTTGGGGAGAAAAAGCAATTAAAAAAAAAAAAAGAAGATTGGCAACAGTTGTTAGCTCAGGTGCCAATCTTTAAAAAAAAACTCCCTACCTCTTTTTTTTCCTCCCCAAAGCCCCAGTACACAGCTGTATATTCTAGTTGTAAATCCCAGTTCTTCCTTGTGAGCCCCCGCTCCAGTATGGCTACTGACAGACGAGTGGTGTGATTCCACACCAGGGAACCAAACCCGGGCCACCAAAGTGGAGTGTGCAAACTTTTAACCACTAGGCCATCAGGGCTGGCTCTGATAAATATATTCTAACATCAAATATTAAAGCACATCAAAAGGTTGTCCTAAAATATAAAAGTTTTATTTCTATTTGTTTGGACAAAATTAAAAACACAAGAAGAAAAATTTATACAACTCAGAAAATTTCTGTACTTTCTAGATAGAAAGGTAGGAAAACTAACAACATTTGATTATTCTATGGAAAATGTTTTTCAGGTATGTTATTTCGAGTGTCACAAAACTCTATAAGATCTATGTTATTCCCATTGTATAAACTGTGGTACAAAGGTGTTAAGTAGCATGTCCAGTGTCACACAATGTCCAATGTCACACAAAGCTGAAACAAGAAGCTGTGGAGTTTTCTATGGGAAAGTACAGGGCCTTTAAATTTACATAAATACATGTGTCTTTGTCATAGCAAGCAAGTTTGTCTTCTTTTTGTTTGTTTGTTTGGTTTTTTTTTTAAAGATTTTATTTTTTCCTTTTTCTCCCCAAATCCCCCCGGTACACAGTTGTATATTCTTCGTTGTGGGTCCTTGTAGTTGTGGCATGTGGGACGCTGCCTCAGCGTGGTTTGATGAGCAGTGCCATGTCCGCGCCCAGGATTCGAACCAACGAAACACTGGGCCACCTGCTGTGGAGCGCGCAAACTTAACCACTCAGCCACGGGGCCAGCCCGTCTTCTTTTTTTTTTTTGGTAGATTTAAAAAAATCTTTTTTTCCTTTTTCTCCCCAAAGCCCCTGGGTGCGTAGTTGTATATTCTTAGTTGTGGGTCCTTCCAGTTGTGGCATGTGGGATGCCGCCTCAGCGTGGCTCGATGAGCGGTGCCATGTCTGTGCCCAGGATTCGAACCGATGAAACACTGGGTCGCCGGTAGCGGAGCCTGCGAACTTAACCACTCGGTCACAGGGCCAGCCCCTGTCTTCTTATAATGAATTTTAAAATAGAAATATTTTCAAACATTTTATAAAATAACTACCAGAAAACAGAGAAACACATTTGGATTTTATCACTCATGATTTCCAACATTCAGCACTGAAATTCTGGGATTCAAAGGTTCGGTTCAGATTAATGGCTACTTCATTTGAATCTGTTTTCTTCTTTCTTTTCTCCTAACATATTGCTGAACTCATTAGTTAACTGCAACTTGAATTCAATATTACAAATACTCCCTCTGAATGGGTACAAATGGAATTCAATTGGCTCTCTGTAGCCTAGTTCTTTATAAATTCATAGTGCAAGCTTCAAAAATATTTCTTTGTTCTGTCTCTACCCAGAAGAGCATCTTCAGGAAAACCTCCAGAGTGTGAGGTATTATGTCAGGAATGTAGCAGATACAGAAAAAGAAGGATAAGACAGAATTTGCCTCAAGTAGCTCATGTTCTCAAGAAGCCAGACACGGATACAGCTCTCTCTCATAGAAAGCTGATTTCAATGAGCGTTACGAGTACAGGTGGAGAGATTAATCTTTTTTCTACTGTGCAAAACAATCCATCTACGCTTCATGAATATTTCTCTGGAATGGTTATTTTTTTTCAGTCCTAAAATTGATTCTTTAAGTTTTCCCTTCTTCCTCTTTAAAAAACGAACTGCTTACTCTAAATTTTAAACCCAGAAACAAACCTTTTTTTTTGGTGGATCAGACAGAAGCAGCTTATGTGTCCCGAGAAGACGAGAAAACAGAATTGCTTCCTTTAACACACCCCGCCCCTGGCCAGCACCCAGCTCAGCCGCACCCAGCACAGACTCCAACAAGCCCAACACGAGGACCTGCAGCTCCCCCGATGCCCAGCTGGACATCATTCAAGCAGCCAGAGCATCCTCCCCCAGGGCCAGGCTCCTTCTTCTGCTAGTTCACCTGAGGTCAGGAAAAGGGAAACCATCGAGTGGGCAAAACGAGTACACTGGGTGCATGAGATTCCCTTCTACCCACACACAAAAGATAAAACAAGAACCAGGGTCATTTTGGAAATTATTTTAGTAGAAAAAATAAATTTATAGGACATATTACATAGAAAAAATAATTTAAAGGAGAGGGAAATCCCATTCACATTTGTTTTCATGTGATTTACCCTTTACAAAGAATCTCATTTAAAAAAATTAATAGTGCCAGGTTGGGGCCAAGCTGAGCAGTGGGCCATGTGGATTTGCCATGTGCTCCTCTTTGGCTTTAAAAACTATGACTCCAATCTCAAAATCTAGTCACTACATTATTTTGGTTTGTTAGGATCCAGAGACCCTGGAACAACCCGGCTCATTCTTGTTCGTCAATTTGTTCGAAATCCGATTTCATGTTCTGTTTGTAAATTTCAGAGGGACCCAGGGACCAGAGCCCTCAAATAATGTTAAGATGAGCATTATCAGGCAATGAGAGTCATCAGCTAAGAAAGAAAACAGAGAACAGCTACATAATTAACAGAATTAAAGATAAAGGGTAAAAAAATTGAGTTTAGGACAAATATAATAAACACAGGTCAATGCACAAAGAATGCACTTTAGCATTAAGCAGCACAAGCCCTAAAACTGCACAATTCTGCAAAGATCCTCTGATACATAAAGGACAAAGGAGAGACCCAAGATCAACACTGTGAAATGCCACCCTGTTCCCAAGGCCTGTCACCGCCTTTCTTGAGTCAAGCATTGCCACATATGCGGTGCTTGGTTACACGAGACAGCAGACTTAGACTATGTGGTTTAGGGGGAAAACAGCAAAGTCAGGAAGAGCAGCCACAGAAAGCAGTGTAGGCCTCCTCAAAACCCAATGAGGGAAGGAGAAGAAAGGGAGAGAGGGGAGAGGGTTGGTTCCAGTCCCTTCAAAATTCAACACGAGAGGAATAAAAATTACTCCTCACAGGACTAATTCTTAATGGTCCCAGGGGTGATGGCTCAGCTTGGTAGTATTTGTATTAAGCGTTAAACTTGCTTAAAGATATAGCAATATATAAAGATGATGGGTCAGGAAAGAAAGCTCAAATTAATTTAACACTTATCTGACCCTAAAAGTTTTGACTTAACACAGTTCAGCTCTGGAGTGTCAGCTTAACATAAAGTGATTGTGGTCCCAGCAAAATGAGCTTCTCTTTCCTTTATTAGGGAGTCAACCTTTGGCCAAAAAATGCAGATCTCCTTCCTGAAACATTGCTATGGCTACACACTTTTTATCTTCTCCACCTGCTCTGGGACTTGCCTCACCTTCTTTCCTTTCTGATTCATTCTTACCACCAACTCTTCTACTTGAGTTTGTTTTACACAAGGAGGAGTTAGAACCAGAGTCTGGTTGGCCAAGGAGGAGTTCATAGGTATCAAACAAACTTTTATCGAGTGCCTACTAAAAGACACCGTATGAAAGACTCAAGGATTAGAAAGATATAACTCTTACTTTTCATTTCAATCTATCAAAGGAGATAGACTGGTAAATCAGTAGTCTGTATATATTATTCACTAATTGTATAGTCTCGAGCAAGTTTCTTAGCTTTCTAAGCCTCATTTACTTTCATTTGAAAAATAGAGATATAAGCTCTTATAGGGATTTTAAGAGTATTAGATGAAATCATGCCTACTAAGGACTTTGCACAGTTCCTATAATTAGTAAAAACATAAACTAATTGTTGTTGTTATTATGTGAATAAAGTTGCCTGGGAGAACAGAAAAAGTACTACCAAAAATATAGTG